GACTCGCTGCACCGGCCCAAAGGCGCGAAGCGCCTGCATCGCCTCATCAGACGCCTCGCGATACGGCGTCAGGTCCTCACCGGCTATCAGCCGCAAATCGGGGCAGCGAGCTACGGCCTCCGTCGTCCGCATCAATTTTGCAACACCCGAGGAACGAGCAGGGTAGTTGCATGTCACGACGAGGAACTTTTGGGTTACGGCGACTGGCCGCTCCGCCGGAAGCCCGTTGCGGAGCATCTCGACTTGGCAGTAGAAGTAGTCGAGGTCCAGTAGGACGATGGCGCGAGCCTTCATGGGGGTGGTCTCTTGCAAACAGAGAGCTCTCGGCTCGTGCTGCGGCGGCACTCGATTGTGTGAGTTTTTCTTTTCCCGATTTTGTGAGCGGTTGGAAGCAAGGGTTATACTTTAGACGATTCGACTCTGGTTTGACCTCTCTGGGCCCGTTCTTGTCAAAGAAAGATTCCAAATTTATCAGCTAAATCGTGGCTGCGAGAGACGAGAGGAACGTTTGTGAAGCCCTCCGATGCGAAATAAACCAACGTCGAAGCCGGCGGGCAGAAAACGCGGGCCGGGGTTTTTGCTCTTGCATCTGTGGGAAAATTTTCAGCGTGACAGAGCAAAACAACGCGCGCCGCTTGCCGTGGCCGCATGCCGCGCTCGTTCGCCGCTCGCACGCTGCTGGCGGTGGTCGGCGTGCTCCTCACATCGCCCGAGCCGGCGTGTGCTGCTGGGAACGGTGCCGCCGACTGGATTGAGCTACTGGGCGGCTCGGCGCCGCCGACTGCCGCCGACAGCGGAGAGGAGGCGGTTGACTCGGCTCTGCTGGGTGCCATACGCGCGTGGCGGCAAGCTCGCGACGCGCGACGCGCCTCCGAGCAGCGAGTGGCTGCAGCAGCAGCCGCGCCTCGAGCACGGCGGCAGCAAATGCGCACCAACCCGCGGTGGGACCACGCCGCTGAGCTCGAGTATCTGACTCCTTTCGAGTTTCGGCGCTGCTTCGGAGTCGATATCGACACCTTTGACTACCTTCTGACGGTCCTCCGAGACGACATCGCGCCATCGCTGTCGGACGACGGCGCCCCTCGCGGCGGCTACCGCGGGGTGCTGGTGCCGGCGGAGCAGAAGCTCGCTCTCACGCTGCGCTGGCTCCGTGGTGCTTCCTACATCGACCAGACATACATGGGGAAGTACGAGTCCAGGGCCACCTTCTACCAGCACAACAAGACAGTCATCCGCGCCATCAACCGACACTTCCATTTCTCGCTTCGACGGAGTCTCGAGGCCGCGCTCGCCGGCCAGAGCAGGGATGAGCTTGACGAGCGAACGGTCGCCTTTGGGGCGGCGTCGCAGGGGTGCATCGACATGTGCATCGGCGCTCTCGACGGCGTGCATGTGCGCACGGCCCTGATCGGTACTAGCGCCTGCGCGCGTTCGCGCCCTCGCGTTCTCATCCCCCGCCCCCTCCCTTGCGAGGTGCTAATCAAGCAGCCTCCTCGCCGGCGAGAGGTGAACCGCGCCAGGTGGATCAACAAGAATGGCAAGGCGAGCATCAATGTGCAGGCGATCGCAGACAGCGACCGGACCTTCTCCTGGGCGGCGATTGGCATCCCCGGCGCCAACCCAGACTTGACAGCGTACCGGAGCACCTCCTTCTTCGAGGTGATGCGGAGCGTCGCGCGGGTCTTTGGCTACTTCCTCGTGGCGGATGCGGGCTACGTCGACTGCGAGGAGCTGCTGATCCCATGGCCCACCGGCCCCAGTGTCACGTACACCTCCGCAAAGGGCGTGTTCAACCACTATCAGTCCTCCACCCGCCAGGCGATCGAGTGCGCCTTTGGGATGTGGGAGCGGCGCTGGGGCGTCCTCTGGCGGCGCCTCGAGGTGGAGACGTGCTTCGCGACCGACGTCATCCAGGCAACCATGCTGCTCCACAACCTCTGCGTGGAGCGGAATGTGCGCCTGCCGCCCAACGACGACCGCTTCGTACCGCTCGAGCGCACTTCGGATCGGCTCGCGGGACGCCCGCCGGCGCCGCGTGCCAACACTCTGCGCGAACGGATCACAGAGGCGATCCGTGCTGCGGGCCTCACCCGGGGGCCGCTCCCATCCGGCCTTGTGGCGCCGCAGGCCGTTGATGCCACGGTCTCCGGAGCTTAGGCGCGCCACCGAGCCCAGCTGGGGGCTGGGCGATAGACCTCCGCCCGCCCGGCGTGAAGGAACCCATGGCCCATGCGACTGTTACCCATGATTATCTCACACCACTTTTCTGTGCGTTTGACATGTACATGTCCTCGCGTTTGCATGACCATGAGGTGAAATTAGCAGAATGACTTAGGTCTTGACAGTGTAAAGTAGAGGGGTGAGGAACTGACTTATTTCGTTCAGGAAAGTCAAGTGGAATCTCCAATGAGTAAACGGCGGGCTAAAAAGGGCGATCGTGCGGCTTGCACGAATCCCGCGGCGACGCTCGCCTCTCCCGCATCCCGTGATCTGTAAGTGGATACAGCGGCGGAGCAGAGCACAGCCATTGAGGATGCCGAGGCCACGTTTACGCGCCCCCCGTGACAACCCCTCCGACTTCTCGTGCGGCGATGTTCACGCTGTGCGGGTCTTCCTGGCGCACCAGGGCAACGTCCACATTGATTGGAAGAAGAAGTTTGTGCGCACCTTCTGCCCTGGCAGATCATCGTCAAAGACCGCCGACGAACTCTCCTCACTTCTCTTTGACTATGCCACAAGGCTCGGCCTCGACCGGTCCGCCGAGCCGGTGGCGCCCGAGCTGCCATCGGGCGCCATCACTGAGCACCCTCGGCTCACGCTTTCGGATGCTTCGCTTCTACTCGTCGATGGCTCGTTTGACGGCGCCCTCGCTGACGGCGGGTTGGCTCCCAACGATGGCCGCGCCCCGGATGGATGGGTTTCGCCCATGTCTATGACCCTGGGTGGCGTGTCCCCTACCATGTCCCTGCTCGGATCCCTGCTACCCTCGCCTCAGCTGCAGCCAGAGGCGCCGCTGACCGTCACGGCGCCCCATCACCTGCCCGCGCCCCGCCCCGCGGCGCAGTCACTTGGACTGCCTCCGCTGCAGCCGCACCGGGCAGGCGAGGGCGTAGCAGCCGCCAGTGATGGAACTGGTGCCTCCCTCTGGGGAGCGACTCCGCTGCCCGCCGCCACCGGCGCGTCGCTACCCGATTCCGCCATCCAGTCCGAGCCCGCGGTCAAGCACATCGACATGACCGATGAGCGCATTTGCCGCGGCGCACGATTGCTAGAGGCAGTCGCGGCCCGTAAGGACATGGTCATCTCGTACCACGCCGGCCATGACCACGCCCACGGCTTTCTTGCAGCATCGTCGTCGAGAACCAAGGCGCACCCGACTGCGATGTTTGATGTCGGCACGCCCCTGCACAACTGTGTTATGGGCAACGACGACTCCTTCCAGCCGACCAACCGCTTCGAGCACAGCTCGTACCCAACGCTGCGCTCCATCGACCCGTCGGTCGTGCCCAAGACCTTCGCCGTCTACGACGAGTACGTGGCGGTGCGAGGCCCCGTCACGCTCATCCTTGACAAGATTCGGAAGGCGTCGTCAGGCAAGATGACCTACGAGGAGTCCGCTCTGTGGCAATGGTGCTCGAACATGCCGCTGTACGTGTACTGGGTCAAGGCGGTGATCCAGGAGGGCGAGTGGCTGATCTCGGTCGTCCACTACACGGGCGGCCCTAACACATTCGAGCCCGACGAGCCTTCTTCTTCACTGTCCACGGCGGTTTCCTCCTTGGCGCCCGCACCGTCCTCGGCAGCTTCCTCCTCGCGCGACAAGTGCGCGCCGGCGCGCCTCAATGTGGCGGCGGGCGCGGCGGCGGCTCCGGCGGCTCCGGCAGCTCCGCTGTGCGACGACGAGAAGGCCAAGGAGGAGAGGCTCTACAGGGCTGCGACTATCGCAACCAGGAGCAGTCAGGTGTGCTCCATCAAGCGGCTACTCGCGGAAGGCGTCGACGACGAGGGGCTCGCCGCTTCTCTGGCAGAGGAGCTGGCGCGCGCAACCGAGGCGCTCAAGGAGGCGCTGGCGGCGCGGGCAGACTAGGACGGGCGGAAGCGGATGGGTGGCGAGCGAGGCGCCAGGCAGCTGCTCGATTAGACATGTTTGCATGAATCCATGGCGGGGCCATGCGAGAGATGGCGCGCGCGAGACATGACTCTTGAACACACCAGTCGTGTGTGTCCACTGCTTTCTGCATGGCGCCTAAGGGGTCGCTCATGGCATGTTAGGATAAAACTTAGACAGACGCGTACAGGACACTTATACATGGATATAAACGGTACGCATGCGCAGCATGCGAATTGAGTGAACTCGGGCTCATGCGTCATGGGGAAGGCAGCCGCTCGACATGGGACACATGGTCATGGACACATGGACATGGGGATGCACGCGCGCGAAAGCACGGGGTGGGCTCGTCTGAGAGCGGCTGTACGCTCGTGCCGCCTAGCGGGGCGATTGCTAAATCGCACCGGTGCTTGGGTCGGCTGGGGCAATGGCGGCGTGCATGGGAGGGTAGGGGGGCAGGCCCGGCAGGTGCCACGGTGCCACCGCTTGCTCACTCTAGGCTGCTCAGTCGACGATCTGCGGCGGCGCGTCGTCGCCGAGATGCTCCCGGAGGCCCGCAAAGATCTTGTCGGTGGCGCGGTTTCGGGTCGCGCGCAGGTCGTTGCGCAAGGCGTAAACCGCATCGAGCACCCCGTCCAGCGCGTCCTCGAAGCGGCTGCCGACGTTGATGAAGGAGGGCGGGGTGACGCTGAAGAGGCGGTAGAACGACCGCTTGTGCTGCGGCCAGTCCGCCTTGCCAAACTCGAGCGAGAGCGTCCGCGCCGGGACGAGGGGCTGGACGAAGTCCTCGTTCTGCCCCTGCGGCCGGAAGAGGCGGCCCTGGACGCGGACTGGCGACGGCTCGATGCCCCACTCCTCCGAGTTGTCGCGCGGGAAGCGAATGGGGCAGCGGTCGCGGTACCTAGAGGAGAGAATCCAGGAAGGCTCAGTAAAGGTGCTCCAGGGAGGCACTGCTGCTCGCACAGCGGTGGCGGGTACTGCGTCTCGAGGTGCGCGCCGATGAAGAGGCCGAGCACGCGCATCTGTTGAAACGAGTCGAGTAGCAGGTCGGCGCGGAGCGGCGAGGCCCCGTCGCCTCGGATGAAGCCGTCGAGGCGCAAGTCCTCCAGCGCGCGAGTCGGGAAATCGAGGTCGACTGGGAGCGCCGGGTTGGTGCCCACCGGGCCGACCGGCGGCGCCCCGTGCGGCGGCCATGGGGCGCCTGATGGCGGCCGCGAGATGTCGATCCGGACGGTGACCACCTCAAACGGCTTCGGGCCAAACCCGTGCGTGAGGGGCGCGCGGTGCTCCCAGCGCGAGTAGTGCAGGAGCAGGCGCTCGAATGGCAAGCACTGAGACACGTCGACCTCGAAGGAGAAGGCGCAGATAATGTCGAGCACGTCCTGCGGCAGCTCGATGAAGGGGTTGCGGCCGGCGGGGTAGTCCTCGTCCCCGGGCCCCATGATCATCACCAGGCGCGGGGACTCGAGAAAGGGGCCCACGTCGGCAGGGCACCGGGCAAACTCGCGCCAACGCGGGTGCGGGTCCGTGCTGTTGAACATCTTGTCCGCGGGGATGGCAGAGATGTCCCAGGTAGTCTTGCACAGGCCCTGCAGCGTCCTGCGAGAGCAAAGGAGGGTCGGTTTCCGCGGTAGCGGCGGGCCGCTGCACAGGCGTGGGGCGCACACCGCCGCCGGTAGACGACCTCGCTGCGCTGGGCTTTGAGGTTGTAGTCCTCGAGCGCGCTGAGCGACGCCACGATGATCTGCCGGCCGCTACGAGCGTCGGTGTCCTGCTGCTTCAGCAGCTTGCACGTGGACACGGGCGCCGGGCCGCCGTACCACGGTTCGAGCGCGCCGAGACTGTAGTTGTCGGTGCACCAGGCGACCTTCTCGCCGGGAAAGAGCTGCTCCTCCTTCTCTACAATGACGACGGGGAGGCGGCCGGCGCGGTTGCACTCGCGCGTGTACTTGACCAAGCTCTTGCACTGGCGGAGCGGCGGGGCGGCGTGTTTCGCCCACTGAGCGTTGCCAACATCTTCGCCTTCCCACACGAACCGCTTTGACCCCTCGAAGTCCTGCGGGCTGTCGTACGGCAGCGTCATGCTCGCGGCCGCAGCGCGTAAATTTTGTGTCACGCTCAAAATTTTCACGCGCAGCAACTTCTTGACAAGACCCACACGTATATAGTGTGGAAGATGTTGGAGCGCTGCTTAGTCAAATGCTTCTGCGTTGTTTTTTTGACAAGAACGGGCCCTGGCTTGACCTCGCTCTCATATCAAAAAATTACGTGGGACCTCTCTCTCCACGCGTGCACATCGTCACGCTAAGTTGTACCCGCCTCTACCACTCGCATCGCTCATAATCCTTCAGGAAAACGCCGAACGGCGGCTTCGGCTCCTCGCCCGCCTGCTGCCGCCGCAGAGGCGCGATGATCGGGTCGAGCACCCGCGCCGCCGCGTCGATCTCGTCGATCGGCGTCTGGAAGTTGTGCACCGAGTGGTCGGCGGCGGCGCGCTCCGCCGGCTTCTCGTCGTTGATCCACCCCGTGTCCACGGCGGTCATGTAGATGCCGCACTTGGCGTAGTCGGCCGCGCTGGTGCGGGTCATCATGTTGAGCGCCGCCTTGGCCATGTTGGTGTGCGGGTGCGTTGGCTGCTTGTACTGCGGAGATGGGGAGCGGGGAGGGGTCAAGAGGAAGGAGGCAGGCGCGCGGAGGGGCGATGCTCGAGAACGCGCCTTGTAGAAACGGCCCTCCATCGCGCTGACGTTGACGATGAACTTGAGCACGCCGCCGTCCGCCGTCGCCTGCATGAAGGCCTTGAGCCGCCCGTTGATGATCGACGGCGCGAGCGAGTTGATGGCGAGCACCTATCGCAATCGTGTCACGCTCACCGCAGCCGCGACGCGCTCGGCAAGGCGAGAGCTCCTGGCGAACACCTCTGCCATCTCCGCAGTGCTCACCTGCACGGCGCGACCGGGAGGGGCTGGGTGGGAAACGGGTGGGCGCGGCGGGGCGGGGAGAGGTGCGAGGGGGTAGGGCGCGGGTGCCGGCGGCAGAGAGGCGGCGGGAGAGGCGGCGGCAGCGGAGGCGGCGGCAAGGGCGGCGTTCTCTCGCCTCCTCAAGCTTGAGCGTCCACGAGTTCCGCCCGCGCAGGTCGAGCTGCTGGCCCAAGTCGCAGTTCCCGTCGGTGGCGCCGCGAGGGAAGGCTGCGTCGTCACGCGTCGCATCTCCGGGAGCGACGGGAAGCATCGCCATCACCGCGCTCGCGCCGGCGCCCGCCGCGCCACCCAAGCTCATGCTCATCCCCGGGACGATCGCCTCGCCCGCCGCCCCCGCCGGAGAGCGCTGCGCCGTCGGCATCAGCGCGGCGGGTGCGCCGCCCGCCTCGCCGCCGCCCGCCTCGCCGCCCTCGCTCCCGCCGGCCGCGCCCGCTGCGCTGTCGACGATGGCGGCGGGCTCGGCTCCGCCAGCGGCGGCGGCAGTGGCGGCGACGGCGGCGGCGACGGTGCGGTGCGCGGCGGTGAGCCGCACCACCGCGGGCGGGTCGGACTCGCGGGGCACCTGCAGGAGGGGTCCGGGCCAGCTGAAGGGAAGGGCCCGGGAAGGGCGCGGGAAGGGCCCGGGAGGTGTCCTCGGCGCCTCGGCTGCGACGAGCGGGAGGTAGTACTGCGGCGGGCGGCGGACCGTCTGGCAAGCGTTGTTGACTATGACGTCTAGCCGCGGCACGAGGGAAGGCAGCGCGTCGCACAGCGCCTCGAGCCCCGTGAGGTCGCGGAAGTCGGCGCCGACGACGTGCAGCCGCTCCGCCCAGTCGGCGGCGTCTGCTTCGCCGGAGAAGCGGCGCGCCTGACTCACCGCCACGCGTGAGGGGTCACGCCTCGGCTATGCCTCGGCTGTATCTCGGCTGTATCTCGGCTGTACCTCGGCTGTACCTCGGCCCGCCCGCCACGCGTGAGGCGGCCGCTGCGCGCGACTCACGGGCCCGCCGCGCTGCGAGGGGAGAGGCGCCGCTATATCTCGGCTATGTTTCGACTCGCAGGCCGCCGCGCTGCGAGGGGAGGGGCGCTGCGAGGGGAGGGGCGCTGCGAGGGGAGGTGCGCGCCGCGTCGGTCGGGAAGCGCGTGGTTGCGACGACCGTCGCGCCGCACCGCAGCAGCTTGAGGACGATCCGGAAGCCGATCTTCATCCGCCCGCCCGTCACCAGCGCGACGCGGCCGCGCAGGTCGCACCTGCAGCACCGTTCGTTCTCTCGATCAGAGACTTCACCAAGCAGCGCGAGGCCTCGCGCGGAGCAGGGCGCGCACCGCTCCTCGCGCTTCCGCCAGTTGAGCTCGGCGCACGGCGGGCAGAGCGAGGCGTAGAAGGCGTGCAGCTCTCGGTACGGCGCCTTGCAGACATAGCACGACTGCGCAAAGTGCAGCGTCGCCGCCGGCGCCTCGGGAAGCGCTTGCCCCCCCGCCGTCGCCGCAGGCCCGTCTGGAAGCCTCGCGACCGCCGCCGGCGCCGCCGCAGCGCGGTCGTCGAGGCGGGCGACGTCGGTGCTCGGGCCGCCGAGCAGGCGGGGGCCTGTGCGTGGGCGGCGGCGCGAGGGCGCGAGGGGTGCGATGGGGTGCGAGGTGGGTGTGGCAAGCATGTGCTTTTGTCTGGGTGGGTGGGTGTTCGCACCGCCCTCGTCGGCGCCCTCGAGGGCGAGCTGGTCGAGGCGAGCGAGGCGCTCAGCCCGGAGAACGCGGTGGTTGAGCGCGTCGCGGTCCATCTGTCGCAGCCGCTCCTCTGGGTCCAAACCGTCCAGCCGCGTGCCGCCGCCGCCGCCCTTCTTCGGGTTGCCGCGCCTCCGGCCGCCGCCGCCGCCGAGGAGCTCCTCTGCGAGTGGGCCGATCGCCTGGCGCAGAGCCTTGAACGGCAGCGAGCGGAAGAGCGTCAGGTCGGCCGCGACCGCGTTCAATGTCTCAATCGTGATCTCCAAGTCTTGATCGTCGATGCCGCCGAGCACGCTGTGCACTGGCGTGCACGGTGGTGCGGCGGCAGCCGGCTCGGGCTCGCCGTCGCTGGACTCATCGCTGGAGCCCTCCACGGCGAGTCCGGCGAACATGGTGGGGCGGAAGGAGAGTGGGTAGGGTGGCAGAAGGGCTGGCGAGAGCGGAGGCAGAGCGGAGGACAGGCAGGACCGGCACCCGCGTTTCTTCTTTTCGGCGCGATCAAGCAATACCACGGGCCTTACTCACACGAATTTTAGGCCAGCAAGAAATGACAACTTTCGAGAAGAAGGTAAGCTCGTCGATCTCAAGTGCGCTCCAGGCACCAACCAGGGAGACAAGTAATTCCGACATGAACCGTGTAAGAATTGGGCACATGTTTCAGAACATGGAGCGGAGCCGGCCGAGCAGTGCCGCCTCACCCTCCGGCACGGCGGCCTCCGCCGGTACCTCCGCCTCGAGAGGGTGGTAGTGCGCCGCGATGGCGCAGATGACCGACAGGTTCAGTGGCAGGTCTGGCGGCGGCATCGGCGTGCCCGGCAGGCTGAGCGCCTTCTCGACGGGCGCCGTCAGGGAGAAGCGGAGAGGCGCGACGCACTCCGCCGGCAGCGCCGCCACGTCGGACTTGCGGATGTGGAAGAGCTTGAGCGCCCACTGCGGCAGCGCGACGTGCCGCGAGACGACGAGCTGCAGGTAGTAGTTCTTCTCCCGGTTGATGAGCGGCCAGTAGCCAAAGGCGCCGGGGTCGGCGTGCACCGCCGCGCGCTCACACGCCTGGCTCCACGGCTGCGCCACGCACTCAAAGTAGAGGCACATCGAGTAGTGGCCGTAAAACTTGAGCCGGAGGTCCTTGACGTTGTTCGCCGCAACGAGGGCCGGGTAGGTCGTGTACGCGTCGGCCTCCATCTCCGAGAGGACAGCCTTCGACCAGCCGCGGTAGCCGAGCACCTAATAGACGATCCATCCTTCACTAGGCGCTGAATAACAGGACGGCCTCATCCCAGCCGCGGGTGGCTGGAGCGCCGCGTTGAGCAGCCGGTCGTAGTCGTCTCCGGTGCTGACCAACATCGCGGCGAGGTGCGGGTTGGTCTTTTGCCAGAGCCAAAAGGACGAGTTCATCTGCAGCTTGCGCAGCAGAAAGGTGTCGAGCAGCTCGCCGACAGTCATCTTGGCCGCCTTGGCCGCCATCGCCCCCGCGAGCTGCAGGTGGAGAGAGTGGTAGGACCACTCCTCACCCGGCGAGGCGCGCCACGGGCCGCGATCGTAGATCTCGCGCGCGCACTCCTCCGGCGTGTACTTGGTTGCATTGCCCAGAGGCGGCGGCGTGAGGTCGAGGCAGGGCATCCCACACGACGAGAAGTCGTCGCTCACGAGTCCCGACGTGAGGGTGAGCAAGTGCCGGAGGGTGACGGCGCTGCGGTTGTCGGCCGGATCAGATCGCCACCACGGAAACACGGCGTGGGCGGGTGTGTCGAATCCAAGATGCTTGGCCTGGACGGCGCCGGCGACGGCCAGCGCGGCCGGGAATTTGGAAGCCGACGCCATGACATTTCGAGTGGACATCGTGAACCCTCCCTTGGTGTAGGTGTGCGCGCGGCCGCTGGTTGTCCCCGCAGTAAACGCCATCTTTGGAAGGAAGGCGAATCGGTCCATCAAATGCTGGACGGGTGCCCAGTCCGCCGAGGCGAGAGCTCCAATCACGAAAACTGCCAGCATGAGGCCGCCTCGATTCGTCTTGTCTAATAAAGAATTTTAGAACGTCCCTCGCACAACACTGGACCTCCCTTGGGTTGTGTGTTTTCTTTCTTTCTTTCTGGGCACGGGACTGGCGCGCACTGGCACTAACACAGGTACACCAAAAAAGAATTTTACAACAAAACTCCCTCGCACAACTAATATAAAGAAAAGAATTTGTCGTGAACAGAAGGCACGGGACTGGCACTAACACAGGAATTTGAGGGCAGATGGCACGTTCTGGCGCGCACTGGCACTAACACAGGTACACCACGGGAGCCGCCTAAGCGACTCCTGCGAGGCTCTGCAAACAGAATTTGTGCTGGCTGCGTGCCGTCCTCCCATCTCTCCCGGGCGCGCTCCGTGTTTTCTTTCTCCCCTCTGTGCTCTGATTTCTTCTCCTCTCTCTTCTCTCCCCCTCTCCTCTTCGAGGCCGACTACCAGAAAGAGAACGGGAAAAAGCGTGCAAGGACTGGTCTCTAGGGTTCGGGGAAGGACAAAGAATAGAAAACCGGACGATACGGATTCCCTTACACAACTGTAAAGAAAAAGGCGAATCACTTCCTTGCACATGAAATACACCACGCCCGCATCAGGCCGTACAAATCCGCCTCGCGCATCGAGATGGCCGCCCAGCGTGCTCGCAGCCGGAGCGAGCGGACCATGCGCGTGACCGCGGCGACGTGCAGCCTGAGGGAGGGCGTAGAGGATGTAGAGTGTAGAGCGCTGTAGAGCTGTAGAGATGTAGAGCGCTCTGGAGCGCTGTAGAGCTGTAGAGCTCTACATCCGCCGCGTGACGAACTGCCTGCGTTGTAGAGCGATGTAGAGCGCGATTTTGCTGTAGAGTTTGTTGTAGAGGCTCTACAGCCAACCCGCCGGGAAGGCAGTGACTCAAAGAGGTCGAGTCGCACTAATGGGGTGTCTCCGAGCTTACTGGAGCTCTGATGGACGGCCCTGACTATCCCTGACACACAGAGAGTCACTCTGACGACACACAACACCCTACAACTGCGTCATGACCAGCCTGCCATGCGTCGCCGGTGCCGCATTCGTCGCTGTGCTTCAGGCGGTGGACTGTCGGCTGCGAGGACGGTCGCATTTGCGCGAGGCGAGGCGAGCATTCAGACGCGTTGTCTGCGCCATGACTCGCGCCAGCGCGTGCGGGAGCTCCTGGCTGAGCGTTGAGTCCAGGCGAGTTGCGCTGGCCACTATCGCTACGCCGAGCCGAGCTGACGCGCCGAGGCGCCGGCCAGTCGCAGCCGTGAGGCATGCCACAGCAGCAGAGGCACCTGCCACCCATTGGGCGGGCAGACAGAAGGCCAGGGCAGCACTGGCAAGTGCAACGCGCCTCATGTTGGAGAGCGACCGTGCCTCGTTCGCCGCTTATGATGTAGAGTTTGTTGTAGAGATTTCGTTGTAGAGCGCCTCTACATCGCTCTACAACGCAGGCAGTTCGTCACGCGGCGGATGTAGAGCTCTACAGCTCTACAGCGCTCCAGAGAGCTCTACAGCTCTACAGCTCTACAGCTCTACAGCGCTCTACACTCTACATCCTCTACACCCTCCCTCAGCGTGCAGCGTGAGGCCTGCCATTCGATGCCGGCGCGTGGGCACCTTCTTGGACACCACTGCAAACAGCTTGGCCATCAGATCAGGTGAGAGCTTGTGCAGCACGCTGCCGCCGTCACGCTGGCCGAGGAGGAGCAGCCGCTTGACACTCCAGTCGAACGGATGCATCGCCAGTCTCTGGTAGCGCTCATCCTTTTTGAGCGATGCGCAAGCATGTTTCAAGCAGGCTGCCTCTCTCAACGGCATGAAAATGAGCAGCCTGACGGCTCTGCTGAGGTCCTCAACGCGCAGCACCGCTCCGCGAGGAGTGCTTCACGCAAGGAGAGAGAGCGACGAGAGTGGGAAGATCGAGAGGTGGCATGAAGGTCGCCGCGAGAATTGGCGCGACACTGCGAGGAGTGGGCGAGCGCCATTGGGCGGCTCAGCCATAGGCACGTCGTAAGTAAGGAACGCGTTGTCTTGAAAGTAGGCGCGTTCTTTTCTTTTTCACAGCAGAGCCAGGCTCAGTAGGGCTGGATGCCAAGTACTCCGGTGTGAACGCACCTCAACCTCTCACAGGCCAGCGCACAGCGCCATAGGAGGTATTTTCTTCTCAATAACAAGGCTGTGAAGAAAGGCTACCGCCCCGCTCGTACCTCGCGGGGCTATCGCTCAGAACTACGCCGCCAAATGAATTCGAATACCGCGCGACGAGACCCCAGCTCGTCATAAAGCCCGAAGGCCCAGCGGCAGCCTCTTCGCGCTCATGCCGACACCTCGCGCCTGCTGCTCTTCCTGCGCCTCCCTCAACTGGAACGCGCGGCTGGCGCTCATAGTGTCGCCAATCAACATGGTTGGCGTCGGGTTGACAGAGTCTACGATGACGGCCTTTGCGTTCCTCATCACCCGCAGCAACTTCCTGGTCGGCCTCTCGTCCACGGTATCTGGCCTCGCGCTGCTGCTCGTTGCTCCGTGTGCAGGATGTCTCGCGGATCGAGTCGGCAGGCAGGCCGTCCTGCGGCTCGCGAGCGCGCTGGCCGTGCTCTCCGCCGCCTGGGTCTTTGTGTGGCTCTTGTACTTTCAGCCGCACACCAGCGACCGCACCTGCTACGCGCTGCTCCTCGGCTCGCAGTTCCTGGGCGGCCTGCGGCGCGGCATCCAGCAGCCCGCCTTTGATGCAATCTTCGGCGACTCGGTCGCGAGCGGCCGCCGCTCTCAGATCTACTCGTGGCTGTCGTCGCTGAGGAAGTTGGGCCTCGCGTGCGGGCCCGCGACGGCCGCGGTGCCGCCTCAATCAGCATGGCCCTCGCGGCTCGAGCCGCGGCGATTGAGGGCCACCGTGTGAGTAGGCAATCTTCTTTGCGCGGGGCGACAGCTGGACAGAGGTGCAGCAGGTTGCGTGTCGGGTCCGGTTGCCTTCTGCACATGACCCCAGTGGCACGCCCCCACATAGCCGGAGCTCGTCGCCGTGCTCCTCGCCGGCGCCGCCGTGCGGCTCGTGCCTGCCGCGCTGCTGTGGCTCTTCCGCGACGAGCGCTCCCTCGGCCAGGAGCGCGGCGTAGAGGCACCTCCGAGGCGCCTCTGAGACCTTTGCGACACCTCTAACACACCTCTGGGACGCCTCTGTGACACTCCCCACCCCTCGCGCTGCTTCCGCCGTCCTCGCGACCTGCGTTCTGCCATTCGCCTCCTCCCTTTGCCAGGAGAGCGAGGGGCTCCACACCGCGCCTCTCTCCCGCGCCGAGAGCCACGGCAGCGCAATCCCGGCGGAGGCGGGGGCGGCGGAGGCGGGCGCGGCGCATGCGGCGGGCGAGGCGGCCTCTTCGGCAGGCGCGGGCGTGGCTGCGGGGGCCGGACAGGTCGGGTCGGAGGCGCCGCCGCATCGCCGTCGGTCAGCCAGGTGCTGCACGCTTCCGAGACACTTCCGAGGCACTTCCGAGGCACTTCCGAGGCACTTCCGAGGCACTTCCGAGGCACTTCCGAGGCACTTCCGAGGCACTTCCGAGGCACTTCCGAGGCACTTCCGAGGCACTTCCGAGGCGTCCTGCGGTCCGGGACACGTCCATGACACGTCGAACAGGACACGTCCATGACACGTCGCGCAGGCTCGGCCCGCAGCACGTGGCCCCGCTGATCGCGGTCGCCGACCTGACGGGCAAGCTCGCCTCGGGCCTCTCGATGCGCTTCTTCTCGCTCTACTTTTGGCGCGAGCTCGGGCTGCCGCCCACGGTGCCGACGCACACCTCCGAGCCAACTACCGAGCCACTACCGAGCCGCTACCTAGCCGCTTCCGGCGACACGCCAACCGACACGGCCGCCGCCACGCCCCCACGCCCCCTCCGCAGGTTGCGATGCTCATGCTTGTCGGTAACAACCTCGGCTCCGCCGCGTGGACGATCGCGCTGCAGCGGCTCTCGCTGCGCATCGGCCGCCGCCTCGAGCCAGCGGTCGCTGCCTGTGCGTCGGCTCCTCACGCCCTCCTGACGGGAGTAGGGCGCGTCTCCACCATCCTGCTCGTCAAGAGCTGCGGCGTCTCCCTCCTTGTCGTGGCGCGCCCTTCCCTCTCCGCCACTGGGGCGCGTCAGTGACTCGTCCGCGACCCGTCCACGACACGGCCTGCAGGTGGCGCTCTGCCCGCTGCAGGAGCCGCGCCTCATCCTCCCGATCTGCCTGCTGCGCTCTTGGCTCATGAACTCGACTCTCGCTCTCTCGAAGAGCGTGCTCAACGACTACGTCCCCAAGCGGCACCGCGCCAAGTGGGCCTCGCTCGAGAGCGTCAACACCTCCACTTGGGCAGGCGAGATCCAGCCGAGCTCCAGCCGAGCTCCAGCCGAGCTCCAGCCGAGCTCCAGCCGAGCTCCAGCCGAGATAGCGCTGCTCGACCTCTCACAGGCACGCACCCTCACACCTGCAGGCTCGGCCGCTCTCGGTGGGCTGCTCTCGGACCGGATCGGGTACCGACACACGTTCCTAGTCACGGCGGCGCTCCAGGCGGTGGGCGTGCTCTTGTACACGCCGCTCGCATCGCTGGTCGCCGCCGAAGCCGCGCCGCCCAAGCGCGCCCGCGCGAGCACCGCGGCCGAGCCTCGCGCATGCGGGGCAGGTTCCTCCTTTTCCGCTCCGCCTCGTCAGCCCGCTCGCGCCGCACCGCTCGCGGCGCCCCTGCTGAGGGCCGACGGAACCACTCGGAGCGTGGGCGACCACGCGCCCGAATGACGCGTCAGGTGTTCGAAGTACATATGTGATATGCAAGAGAGACACTCACTCAAAAAATAGTGGTATGCTCAGACACCCGCGCTCCGCTCTACGGTCTCTATTTTTCGGCTACCTGTCCAATATGTGCGCGGCGCGCGCGCAGCGAGTGCCGCCACGCCCCCCGCCCTTACCACCCTTCTTTTCGTTGAGCCCTTGCCACTGCGCTTTGCATGTATGTGGCGGCTGGCGCTCGAGCTGCGTTGCGCCCGTGCATCACGCAATCGCCCGGCCGCGGTACGGCGCAGGCAACATCACGAGTGATATTATGAGCAGGCGGACATCGCTTCCAGGGAGGGGGGCGCGCTTCTCTGCACGCCCCACCCCCCCCCTAGCATGTGGTGAAGCCTCTGGGGGGGGTCGGACCCCCCCCCTAGCATGTGGTGTGCAGAGAAGCGCGCCCCCCCCCCTGGAAGCGATGTCCGCCTGCTCTATGTCGCCTCTCCTAAGATTTTCCGTTTCTCCCAGTCCAAGAAAATGAATCTCGCCGCTTCAAACAAGCGATTGTGCCGACCACATGCAAGCGGGCACGCCGACGACGGGGCACACGCTCACACATGCCACTCGCGGGGAACAGATGGGAACACGAGCGAGATTTCAGCGAGATTTTACACGTGCGAGCTCTCCAGTAACACACACGCTCCCAAGTCCCACAAGTGCCAAGATGCAAGAAGCAAGAGCTCTCGCACCCATGAAACAGACCAAGGTCCAAGGTAAGGGGATGAGTGGTTCTTTTTTACCGCGGCGACCTGCGTGCCGACACGCTCGGATCCGCTCGGAGTCAGCGTCCGAGTCACTGCAGGGGGCCACGCGCGCCCGAATGACCGAACGACTAAACACAAACACAATAAACACTCAGTCACTCCTCTCTCACGACTCACTCAGACGTATACGATGAGTACGGCTGTGCGTAGTCAGACGGTCGCCCCTCTAGGGGCGTGTGGCAGAGCAGACCGCCTTGTGCTTCTTCCAGTGCGCGCGCTGGCACGGCACGCTGCAGTACGAGACAGCCTTGCAGCGGCTGCAGACCATGTGTTTCTTCATGGTGTCCTTGGATGACTGGCCGCAGCTTGCGCAGATTGTGCGCATCACAAACGCGTCCGCCTTCTTGGTCTGGGCTGGGTCTTTTGGTAGAATCGTCATCCGCTCCATAAACTTCGCGACCTCGACAGGCTCAGTAACGAGACGCTGAACGCCGTGCTTGACCTCGTAGAGCGTCAGATCCTTCGGAGGATCTTGCGCAATCTGAATCAGCTCACGGCGGAGCTGCTGGAGCCGTGGCACTTCATCGGGACTGACACTGTGCCCATACTGCAGGAGCACCTTCAAAAAGCTCCTGCGGCCAAGGATGAAGGCGGCGTGCGCGGGGGAGTTGCCGGTCCGGCCCTGGCACGCGGGCTGCGGCTTGGTCAGATCGGCACCATGCTCGGCGAGGAGCTCGAACCCCTTGAGAAGGTCGTTCTGGATCGCGTAATGAACGCCTGTGAGTCCGTCCGCGCCGGTGGCGTCGACATCCGCCCCCCACCGAATCAACTGCTTGAACGTGGCAGTGTGATCATCGCTCCAGATGGCGCCGTTGCCAGAGCTGTGGAACAGACGCAGAATATCCGTGTCGTACAGGTCACCACCATGTCGCACCAGTGCGTGGAGAGCGCTCAGGTTACCGTTCTGAACAGCAAACCCAACCGCAGTCCCTCCGTGGTGATCGGGGCGATTGACAAATCCATCGAGTCCACGGGCAATCAGAAAGTCGATGATTTGCGAATCCGCCTTGCAGAACTCAGCTGCGAGAATCAACGCGTGCGCACCGTTGGGCTTCAGCACAGCGATGTCGGCTCCGGCGTTCACCAGCAGCTCAACGATGTCGAGTCGCTCAATCTCGATCGCCAGGAGCAGGGCTGAGCCGCCCGACGGAGTACGAGCGTTCACGTCACAGCCAGAGCTGGCGATAGCTCGCATGATCGCTGGCACATCGAGTGCCAACACTGCGTTCTGGAGCGTTGTGAGGCCGGGCGACACGCTGATCAAGGAAAGGTTTGCTGGCAGGACACGCACGACCTCACCGTCGACCTCGAGCAAACAGCTCCAGCGTCCATCACTGAACTCACGCAGGGTGCACGTGCATCCGTTGAGGTCAGTGCGCCCGGTTAGCCCGACGATCAGGCAGCGATCGGCGCCGTGCATGTGTGGAGGCAGCGTGCAGGGAGGAATGTGTGTGTGGGGCAGAGCCAACCAAGGCGCCCCCCCCCCCAACGCATAGGGGTGGTTGAGGGGTTGAGGGTTGAGCCCCCCCCTCAACCATCTGGTTGACGGTTGAGACCCCCCGTCAACCCTTTAGTTTGGGGTTGAGGCCTCCGGGGCCTATCAAGGCTCGCGCGTGATCACAAGATTTGTCTGGAACAGCCCTGCCGCCAAAAAATCGCTTCGCCTGCGGCGCGCTCTTCCACTCGGGGGGGGGGGGGGGGGGGGGGGGAAAAAAATTTTTTAACCCCAAAAAGGGGCCCTTTTTTGGACCCCAATAATGTTTCCCTCCCGGGGGGGCCTTTTTTCCCTTTCTCAAAAACCCCCGGGGGGAAAGGCCCTTCGGGCCGGTCGACTCGCCACATCGATTTCAACTCACGCGACGCGCTCGGCCTCCGCTGGCGGCTGCCGCAAGAGCGGCTGGCTCACGACAGCGTCTCGCCGGTTGCCGGATAGGAGAGTACAGAACTGTGTACGTGAGATCGGTATTGATAACAAGCACGGTCGATCCGTCAAAGCGATACACTCGTTCCTATCTCGCTGGAGGGCTGGCACGGAGCTCTGTGCCGGCACACAGCAAGAGCCCCTCTATTTTTCTTTTTCTTACGAAACCGCGCTTTTACGTCAAGCTCTGCCCGCCCTCGTCGATGGAGCGCGACTCCGCGAGGCTGCTGAGGCCGACGGGCGATGATGAGTCAGTAGCAGAGGAGAGCACCACCTCCATGACGGAGATCGTCAGCACGCTCCTCAGCGGCCTGTGCGGCTGCTGCGGCGCGCTTGGTTACCAGAAGGCCGAGGCGGAGGAAAAAGGCATGGATCTCGTGCCTGTCGAGCGCCGCACGTCCGGCGCAAAGGCGGTGCGTGCGGTGCTGGAGGCGGAGGACGCGGCCGAGGCCGAGGCCGAGGTGGCTCGAATGGCGGAGGCGGCTCGCAAGGCTGCTGCCGACGAGGCGGATGTGGAGGAGGAGCGCTCTGTCATAGAACTCACACCTGAGGAGGCGGAGCGGGCACGCGCCGACGCGGTCGAGGCAGCTGCTGCGGCCGCGGCGGCCGCTGCGGCCGCTGCGGCCGAGGAGCGCTTGGCGGCGCGGACGCAGGAAGCACAGTTGACGGTCGAGGTGGAGGCAGCGAGGGTGGTGGCGGCGGAGGCGGCGGCGGAGGCGGCGGCGGCGGAGGCGGCGAGGGTGGCGGCTGAGGAGGCGGCGATAGCAGAGGCGGCCGCTGCGGAGAAGGCTCGCAGGGAGGAGGAGGAGGCCGAGGCTGCACGCGCCGAGGCGGCTCGGGTCGAGGCGGAGAAGGCGGCGGAGGAGGAGGCGGCTGCTGCGGCTGCGGCTGCGGCTGCGGAGATGGAGGCGGCGCGTGTCGCTTCCGAAGGTCGATCGGCGAGCCAGCTTCAGGCGGTCGCGCGAGGCCGGCAGGGGCGGGCCAAGGCGGCTGTTGCAGCCGCCGCGAAGGCGGAAGCGGCGGCGGAGGCGGCGAGGGCGGCGGCGGAGGAGGCGGCGGCGGAGGCGGCGAGGATGGCGGCGGCGGCGGCGGCGGAGGAGGCGGCGAGGGTGGCGGCGGAGGAAGGGGCGGCGAGGGTGGCGGCGAGGGTGGCGGCGGAGGAGGCGGAGGCGGGGGCGGCGAAGGCGGCGAGGGTGGCGGAGGAGGCGGCGGCGGAGGCGGCGGCGGAGGCGGCGGCGGCGGAGGCGGCGAGGGTGGCGGCTGAGGAGGCGGCGATAGCAGAGGCAGCCGCTGCGGAGAAGGCTCGCAGGGAGGAGGAGGAGGCCGAGGCTGCACGCGCCGAGGCGGCTCGGGTTGAGGCGGAGAAGGCGGCGGAGGAGGAGGCGGCTGCTGCGGCTGCGGCTGCGGCTGCGGAGATGGAGGCGGCGCGTGTCGCTTCCGAAGGTCGATCGGCGAGCCAGCTTCAGGCGGTCGCGCGAGGCCGGCAGGGGCGGGCCAAGGCGGCTGTTGCAGCCGCCGCGAAGGCGGAAGCGGCGGCGGAGGCGGCGAGGGCGGCGGCGGAGGAGGCGGCGGCGGAGGCGGCGAGGGTGGCGGCGGAGGAGGAGGCGGCTGAGGCGGCGAGGGCGGCGGCGGAGGCGGCGGCGGAGGAGGCGGCGAGGGTGGCGGCGGAGGAGGCAGAGGCGGCGGCGGAGGCGGCGAGGGTGGCGGCGGAGGAGGCAGAGGCGGCGGAGGCGGCGGCGGCGGAGTCGGCAAGGGTGGCGGAGGAGGCGGAGGCGGCGAGGGTGGCGTAGCAGGAGGCGGCGGAGGCGGCGAGGGTGCCGGCGGAGGAGGCGGCGATTGCTGAGGCGGCCGCTGCGGAGAAGGCTCGCAGGGAGGAGGAGGAGGAGGCCGAGGCTGCACGCACCGAGGCGGCTCGGGTCGAGGCGGAGAAGGAGGCGGAGGAGGAGGCGGCGGCGGCGGAGAAGGCGGCGGCGGCGGCGGCGGCGGCGGCGGCGGCGGCGGCGGCGGCGGCTGCGGAGATGGAGGC